TTCCAACCTTAATGATTTTATGATTCTACAAGGTCTCTTACAACAAAAGGATTGCAATGGCCATAATAGAGAAACAAAGAAGAAATTTGCCAGTTTCAATAAGTGTTAGGGAGTGGTTCTGTGTTTGAAGTGGAAAGAGAGACCTTACTTGGTTTCTCCTGGAGGACTTTAGTAAGGAGCTTATTAAAATATTATATCACAAGAAAGGTCCAACTATACCATTTGCATCGTAACTTGCTAGTGAAGTTTAGAATAGTTCTGTTTGTAGAAGAGACAACTTGTTCAAATATTTATTTTCTTTTTGTAATTTTTGGTTTTGAACTTCATTTCTTCAACAATGATTTATGAATACTCCATTATGTAACTTACCGGGAGCCTTTGATATGCTTATGAATATATTCCGCATGAGCCCTTGGAACCAAAGGGTCTTTCTCACCATGAATTATAAATGTGGGACACTTAATATCTGGCAGCAACTGTTGGCAGATATTACCTAGGGAGAAAATAAATTAAGGTCACACTTTGTTTTAAAATAGTATTAAAGACTGAAACTGCTTCTGTAAAGGACTGTGAACTCTACTGGGTTCTAGCTTTTGCCTCTCTTTGCCGATAGCCTGCAATTAATCTGCAGAACTATGTAATCAGAATTATAATTAACATTTCTTTCTCCAAAATGTTACTTCACTGAAATTTGCTTCATTAATGGACAGTAGCACAAAAGGAGTACTTCTGTTCCACATTTCCCAGGGGCTCTCTTTGACTGTTCAAAGCAAATATATGCAACTCTTTCCTGGGTTTGTTCTTTTCAGCCTGACCCTTATGTCCTTTGTGTTTAGGCTACATTTTGTTACATCAGTTGTCAGTTAAAAGATTTGCTACTTTTATCAACAAGGTAACTTATAAGGGTTGTACTCAAGCCTATTCCACCATCGGGACCCTTTGCTGTGTGGACTGAATAACCCTTTCTTACAGATTGTACTAAACTATTCAAAGGTTACTCTCCCTGCCCACTCATCTTATGGAACTTCAAGAATAATTTTATGTTTACTAGTCTTTAATCTTTCTAGAAGTAGTTTTAATGTTTTTCCTTACAGACTCTTCTATTTTTTCCCCTTCCTTTTTTCCTTGTCCCTTAGTAACCCGATTTCCATGCTCTTTGCCTAACTTGCCATACTCTTGCAAAAGTCTGTGGGCAAAACACACTTGATGAGTTTTATGTTCCCTTTATCTTTGAGCTAACTTTGTCCTATTTGTAGTTGTCTCCTTGCACCTACCAACAGCTGTACAGTTAACATTCATACAGGCACACTTCCCCTAGCTCTACTCGTATGCTCTTTCAGAGATTCTTCCAATTGTTTGGTTACTTATATAGTCTTAGTTTGCAGTTCTACCAGTTAAATATTTTCATTTAGAACATTTTGCCTGTAATACTCAAACACCTGCACAAATGTTGACTGTTTTTCAGAATAAGTAAATTTAGATTATTTACCTAAGGACGTAGTTGGCAGTCAAACTATTATTTCCTAGTTTCCACTCCTGAAATTGTTTTGTACTACAACCACTAGATTATATTTGTTCCAAAGATGCAGAATAGCAAGAAGAATCTTGAATTTTGCAGCCTTATGCAACTTACTAAGTGTCACTAAGTGTTGGGACCCTCTAAAAGTTCATTTTTTGTGTAATTTCACACTAAAAGCTGTCCCATTTAGGGCAAATAGTAAATTTCTTAAGAAGAGCTTGAGTTTTTGACCGACAAAGGTTTTACTGTCCTCTTTATCTCTGATGGGTTTTATTAACCCCTTTTCTTATTTGCCATATCAACACCTTTTGTGCAGAGTGTCTGAATTTTCATTCAAAGGAGGACTGCTTGTAGTCCAAGTTGTGCTCCCCAAGCTATGCCTAGACAAAACCTCCAGTCTGATGGTTGCGCTTTTTTTTTTTTCTTCTTTTTTTGGGAAATGTTAGGCTTCTCCCAATATCTGACCGAGTTACAGCATCTAGGTAATTCAGCTCCTTCTCACATGTCTCCAGGTGGCTTCTTTTTCACAGTCACTCAATCTCAGTGTTTGAGGCATGTACAGGCAGTAAAAGGATGTCACAGCCAGAGTTTTACCAGCCTGGGCTTTGGGCTTAATAATAAGCTAATTTTAAGGAGATGTGTTCTAGAAAGGGTAAAATAAAATCAGATCAAAATTTGTTACATCACCCTGCTGGGAGAAATTCTAGTACCACGTTGCTGATCCTGTACAAAACTTTATGGAAAAAATAGGAAAAGAAGGAATGTTTTCCTTGTAGTACTGCTGCCCGTTAATTTATTTCACCTCTTGTCTTTCATTATGAGGGCTACAGGAAAATGTATATAAGAGAATTATAGACTCCTTGTTTTATGCACTATGTATTTCTGCTTTAGGAAAATTAAAAGCAATTTTCCTCTGAATTAAAGCAGAACTGCAGGTATCCTTGGCTGCAAAATCTGCAAAAAGTAGAGCAATTGCAGAAGTCTTCAGAGATAAACATTTAGTAATTATATTGTCCAGTTTAACTATTCTGTTTGGATTTTTAAACACCTAAGCTGTGTAAATAGTGATTTTAAAATGTTTTGTTAATTCTGAGTTCTCAAAATCTGAACTTCCTTCTTTTTTAACTCATCATATGCTACAAGTTTTGAAATAGTGCTTCAGCTCCTGTTTGCAGAAACTGGAATGAACATGCCTCACTTTTGGAATATCTTCACAATGTCACCAAGAGGTAATCCTTTGACACTGAGAGAGGAGGCAAAAAGCTTGAGTAGAATCCCTCATGTTCAGTCTGTACAAAAGCAATGATTTAATAATGTAGTTTTGTGGTGGAAGAAGAGGGGAGACTCGTCATCTAATGCTTCCCATAAATGTGTTTTCCTCCTGTACCTTGCTGGTTCTGTGAACCATCTACAAAGTAATTGCTTTATTCATGAGTGTGAGTCAGACCCAGTTTTTAATGCCATCTGCACAGTCCTTCCATTACTGGCTTCTAGGAGTACTGTTAGATTTTTTTTTTTTTTTTTTTGATTCAGAACAGTCTGCTACTATAATTGCTTCAGCTTAACATTGCAAAAGTCTTACCATTTGATTTTTCAGCAAAGCGAGATATTCCATCTACCCAAGCCTCACAGGTTTTTGCAAAGTATTTACGTCCATACATCTCTTCTAGTGGTTTCCTGACCTTCTCACTCCACTTTGAAACGTCCCGGATGCCTGCATAAATACCATTGAAATATATTAAGATCTTTCTGGCAATAAGATATAACCCAGTAATGTCAACACCTAGTATGAATAAGTTTTCAAACCAGACTGCAGATGTGTATTTCAAACATGAAACCGCATTGAATAGTTTTAAATAATTCATAGTATGGAAAAGGTATAAAAAAGGTAGTTTTACGATCTCTGCTGGGGTCTTTCTGAGTTGCAGAAGACCATCTTGTTGTTTTGGTCACAAGGAACAACAACAAAAAATAATAATCAAAGGACTCAGTCCTAAAACTTCTGATGTTTCTTTTTGGAGGACTTGCAGAAGAGGAGCTCGAGGAGGTACCCTGTGTATAAAAGGGGACTGTTTTATAACAGTGTGCCAGAGCTGGCAATTATTCTGTATATCCTTCAGCCTTTTGCTTTGGCTCATGGATGCAAGTTCTTCCATGGCTCCTACCAATATTCAGAGGAAGGAAGGTCTTACTAAGGCATTCCAGCAAGCTGACATCATGGTACACTTGCCATAGTCTTACAGAAAAACAAGCAACTCTACTTAGTAGAGCCCCATGACTCATGGCAGGCTGGATAAAGCTGTACAAATAATCTAGTTATGTAGTTATCAGATTTACATATTTTTTTCCGGTAAATTTTTCAGTACTGTTGACAAACCAGATATCCACAAGGGTGACTTTCACTAAACTGTATTTCAGCTGTACAGCTTTGTATGGATAAAGCGCAAAACAGTGTTGGCATAGCAGAGAACCTGAAAGAGACCTGAAAAGTACTGAATCATCAAACAGCAATATATGCCACTACAAAAGCTTTTAATTGGTTTGAAATGGGAATTAAGGGAAGAAAGGAGAGAGGTGTTAACTAACAAACACAACCTGTCCAGCCAAATGAGCAACGTAGCAATGACTGAAAGTGCTTTGTAACAGCATCTCATTGGAAAAGAGTTTGCTTACTCTGGGGCAGCTATTACTGAACAGCTGTTTCCCTTATAGAATCTACTGTTTTATCCTTGCAGCTAGCCTTAACTTAAAAAGGAAGGGGGGAAGCCAATGTTGGAAGGACATCAATACCAAGTAAACACCTTTCTCTCCTACCAGGCCCTTCACTGCAGTTGTGATGTACTGATGGGCCAGTTGTAGAAAGCTTGTGCTGCTGCTTTCAGAGCTCTATCACCCAGAGAGAGAGGGTCCACGAAGAGTCCAAAGGTCAGCATTGCTGTGGGTGCCCCATGTAAAGACTTCTTGGGTTTTTTTAATTCTTTTTTTTTTACATTTTAGCTTGTTGGCTAATGCTAAATGATATGCATTTCATAATTATATAATTTAAAAATTCTTAAATATAAAAGCATGCAAAGAAATAAGCATTTTAAAGAGTTACAAAGCATTTTTCGTACTGAGCTAAAAAATATACTACTGTTACCAATGAAAGTGCTTTAGTATAGGTGAGGTAAGTACACATGTGCAATACATACACTTGTAATTTTGCTGAAGTGAGACAAATTTCACAGCTGGTATAAATCAAACTCCAGTCACTTAAATAAAGCTATACTGGGTTACATTTGTTGAGAGCCTGTATGGTTAACTCTTTCAATTTCTAATTTCAAAAAGAAATAAAATGTCTTTTTGAGTTCACTAGCAATTTTTGCTGTTTTCCTTTAGAGTGACAAATAGCTAGATTCTATTTCATGTGAGTGTAATAAGGAAATCTCACATTTCTTTGCTTTGCAAAGGTTTTGTAACCACAGTAATTAGCTTTAAAAGAATGTAAATTAGAAAGGCAACCAGGGACATTTACTTGAATGATTCATTTGCTTCCTGAATTCAAAAGGTAAGTTACCAGCTTGTTTTCTTACTGTCTATGTATCACACAGGCCCTAGAGGAAAAGCTGTTATGTGCTAGCCCAGTGATTTTCTGTGGACCTTGTCCAAAGGTTGCACAAGGCGTTAAAAAATACATCAAGCCTGGGATCAGTAGTATTATTTGGAATTGATTTTTAGGAATATATTACAGCAACAAAGATTTTACTTTCTGAAAATTACTGATACTTTTCAGCAGTGTAAATTGGTTAGGACTTTTTAAAAATTCCATTGTGTTACCCCTGGAGTAACTGTAAGGGAGCTTCTCACTATGACTTTAATCTATTTCTATACTTAGCAACTTGGTGAATTTTGTGCCCTGTTCCTTTGGGTTTGTTGTCTCCTCATCTTCGTCTTCACTTAGCTGTTACATGACTAAGATCCTTAGGTCAAGAAGAAATGAAAATAACTTTTCTGGGATATGAAATTCAGTTTGTACATACCATTATAAATTCTCACATCCTCTTGAGTAACGCTGGCATTTGCTCCCCAGACAACCAGCTTGTGGATAAGAGTTGGATACTTTGCAGCTGCAATGAGTGCTGTAATTCCACCATCACTCCACCCCAGCAAAGAGAACTTCTTAAATTTCAGTGCCTTGATTTGTACAAGAAAGTTATACGCAAATCATCAGCTGGTTTTACGAGCAAAGATCAAATATTTCTTGAAAACTAACTGTATAGATTTAGACACAACACTACATAGTTGAACTATAGTTAGCTTTTGTAATTAGAAAATATAATTTTCCTGATATACTTAAGAAAAGATCAAATATTTAGAAAACAAGGATTATACCTGCCCCTCCAATTTCTTATAACTATCTGATGAAACAGGCAGTAGCCATATTAGATTCTTGCTTCATTTAAAAAGCCTTCTTGAAATTAAGAAATGTTTATTTACAATGGAGAGTAAAGACCTTTTCAGAGAGCCTGATGGTATAAAGAATCTGTGGATTCTCTTGGTATAATGTTGGCAAGGACTGTCACAGTGTGGGATGGTAGGTAAACCAAGACCAAGATGAAGTTAAGAAAAGACCTGAAAAATGGTGATGTCTCAACTATGACCAAGAGACATAGGACATTCTGTTGTGAAAACAGGGATTTTATCCTTGAGATAAGAACTTGCAAACATCTTGCTTTGCAGAGTTGGCAAACAGGAGTTTGTGAGACCTCTTACCTTGTTAAAATCGGTTAGCACTGAACTCTAGCTGAACTTAGCTCATTATAATTTAAAAACCACACCTCTAGTATAGAAGCTATCTGCCTCCAGGAAGGGACCCCTACTCACTGAACATGCGTAATATAGAGCGAATGTACTGTTCTTTTAAATCAAAGTGAGAAAAGTTCTCCAATAAACACTTAGTATATGTGTATATGCAAAGCAGATAGGAGTGATTGTAAATGTCAAGAGTATAAATAACAGACTGTAGGGTCACTAGGTGTGCTAGCTTTGCAAACTATCATCTAGCACCCATTTTTGCACAAAACTGTAATGAAGCAAATATCTCAACTCTGCTTGTTAGTTGGTTTCGTGCACACCAGGTAAAAGAACGCAGATTTGGGACAACAATGGAACCCAGTGATCTAATATATTGATGCTAGCTGGTTTAAAAAGAAAAATGCTTAAAGTATTTGCCACAGGATTCTATCACGTTTTAGTGTGTAATTCATATTTTCTGAAGCTTTTAAGTGTACATTTTAAATGTTACTTCATGGTGAATTGCAGTTCAAAACATTAATACTGAAATTCTTCCTTCTCAAAAAGGAAGGCTCAGGGCAAAAAATATGGCAACGGAGACCTTAATTCATTCTGACTTGTACAATCCTTTCCACTAGAATTTGAAGCTCTTGCTTTTTCACATACCACAATCTGTGGTAGCGGGTAACGACAGTGACAGGAGAGAGGATTTTGTCTGTGTGATATTCAGTGGGCAATGGGTGAGGAAGGTAAAGGCATTCACGAGTAAATGCATCTGAAGATTGTGCATGCAGAAATCTCAGTTTGTGAACACTTTGCAAACAAACATACAGGTTTCAAATGGCATTTTTTGGTGTTTTATTTTTTTGTTTTGTTTTTCAGAAATTACAGCCTTTAGATGTGATTCAGGAAGGTTATGTACTTTTGGAGGAAAAAGATCAAGTTAGTTGAATGGGTTGTTTTGGTGCTTGGTGGTTTGTTGTTTTTTTTGTTTTGTTTTGGGTTTTTGTTGTTGTGGGAAGTCCAGCCCTGCTTTCTTTGGACAGAAGAAAGCAAAAATGCAGGCAATAAGAGGAACAAGTACAGAGAAAGAAAAAGAAGTTTCTAGTCTGGAAACTTACTCCTGCTTGTAAACTTGATGCTCAGGTGGGGCATAACTTATCAGTCAACTCAATTCCTATCAAACTTCTACGACTATCAGGCTTTTCTGGTTTTGGCTTCTTCCTTGGTATTAGGCTCACTGTAGTGTTGCTCAATATTAGATTTCACTTGGCTAAGTCTGAAAAGAAAATAAGGTAGGGGAAAGAAAGGGACACGAGAGCCATGAGCTGACAGCAAGAAAAGAGAACCTTGAACTTTAGCAGCTGATTGCAAGTTGGCCCTGGCCTGCTCTAAGAGTAGTTCTCTGTGACCAGCTTTCAGTACCGTGCTGCTAAAGGGTTACTGGTGTCTTGGCAAGTTTCTGGAGCTGGCAGCAGTGCATTGTAAAGCTTAAGTTTTTGCTGTTGCTGTTCCCCTACCTCCAATAGCAAATTAAGGACCTCAAAGTTGGATGATGGGTGCAAATTTTTGTTCTTCATGCCAGCTTATTTGCCAGTTCTTTAACTGAGATCTATTTGCCTCCAGAATTTCTCTTGTTTACTAGCCATTATCTTGATGAATTCTTTGGGTTGTCTCAGGATGCCTTTACAGCAGGAGGAATCTAACTTATCCTTTGCAGCTGTTCTCTAACCCTGGGTGTTATCCAAATTTTCAGCAAAGCTAAAGGCAGAACATCTATCAATTTTTGATGTTTTTCTTGACATAATTTCCCAGTTTGCATTTCCAGTGTTTGATTTATTCTTTCTACTTATCTGCTTGATTGGGATCTCCAAGGGGTATGCAAGTCCCACTTTATCTACAAAAATTCAGAAACTCCTTCGGTTACGTCAGGTATAAAATGTAGACCTCTATCAGAAGATACTCCTTCTGGTATCCCAAATCTCGGAATTATTTATTTTAGCAAAGCTTTGATCACTTCCCTAGCCTTGTTTGTATGACACGGGAAAGCTTCAGGCCACCCAGAGAAAGTATCAACAAATACCAGTAGATATTTATACCTATTACACCTTGGTAATTCTGAAAAGTCAGCCTGCCAATACTCACCAGGTGTGATGCCTTTCCTTACCTCTCCTGGAGGGGGTGTTCTCTGTATTTTTGGATTGTTCTTAAGACATATATCACCTCTTTGAACGATACTTTTTGCCATTAACAACATATTGATCCTAAATGCATATCATATTACTGTTTCTGCTAAAGCTTGTGTTCGCATATGTGTTCCTTTATGGGTCTCTTCCATTAATTTCTTCATAATTGGAGATGATCCTTTATTACATCATTCAAAGTTACTACTGTATATCCAGCCTTCTGCTCTCCCTTTGAGAGGAAAATGCTGCCATCTGTAAACAGAGTCCAATCCAGATCTTCCAAAGGGACAATCTTCAAATCTGGTTGACAAATTGTCTCCTTGCATTCTGTTCACAATTTTCTTTCTCCTTGAGAAATTTCAAATCCCAAATAACTCACAGTTCTTTGCACTATTTGTGCTTTCTTTCGGGATACTCGATATCCTGCCAGTTCCAGAAAATACAGTAGACTAATAGTAGCTTCTTTACACTGGGGTTCAGAATCTGCTCCCAAAAGTATATCATCCACATATTTCAATAAAGTAACAGATGTCTTTCCGTTGCTCTCTTTCACTAATGCATTACCCAACAGAGTGACTGTTCTTGAATCCCTGGGGTATGACCATCCAGCAAAGCTGTGTTTTCCCTCCTGTAGTTGGACTCTTCCATTCAAAGGTGAATAGCTTTTGACTCAGTTTCCAGCAGAATACAAAAGAAAGTGTCCTCTAAGTCCAACACTGCAAAATACACATCTACCACAAACTGACTGATCATTCACAAATCAATATTCTGGAGATCAGGGTCTTCTTACCAGAAAAATTGGAGTATTATACTCAGATTGGTATTCTTTCAAAAGTCCATATTTAAGGAAATTTTCTATTAATGGCGCCAATCTTAATCTTGCTTTGATTTTCATAGGATACTGGCTTTTTCTTACCAGCTTTGCACCTAGTTTGAGTTTTACTCTCACTGGTTCTGCTGCTTTTGCTTTTCCTGGTATCTCAGTGGCCCGTATCATTGGGATTATAGCATTCAGGATCTCCTCAGGTATTTCAGGATTCTTGACTCCTCATTTCTGTAACAGACACGACTGAGCCTTCGAAGCATTACCTTTTAGTATATGCAATTGGATTGTATTTTAAGAAAAGTTATTTGAGCTCTCAATTTATTTAACAGACCCCTGCCAAGGAGACCTACTGGACACTCAGGCATATATAAAAATTCATGTGTCAAAATTAAATCTCCAATTTTGTATTTCATTGGCTGCAAAAAACAGTTTCTCTTTACACTTTTCCGTGACCCCAACAACTGGCATAGTAAAATTATTTAAAAGTCCCTTACAGCTAGTTACTACTGAATATGTCTCTTCTGTATCAACTAAAAAACTTACTATTTCATTCCCCAGCTGTATTGTAACCACAGGATCTGCTGGGGAGACTGAATATTTATATTCACCCCAGGTCCCCTTCATTCAACTTCACAATTTCCCATCATCAACAAATCTGCCTCAGGCACTTGACACCCCCTTCGCAAGTGATCTTGCTCCTAGATTTCTCAATGTCAGGGTGCTTCACATAATCTCTCATAAAATGCTAAGGGATTCTCATTTGCCCACTGTTGACATATACTTTTGTTTTGGAACCCCATGTTGTATTTCATACAAAATCAACTGCTGATACTGTTTAATCATGGTTCTTCCCACACTAGAATTAGGATCCCAATTTAGATCTGTTTTTGGCAAATACCTGGCAGGGTCATCTCTAACATTTTGTCTCTCATTCTCTTCACTTGCCTTATTCAGAACCAATCTTCTTTCTTCAGGGGTGAAAAGTTAATTTATTTTATTTTTTATAAACCTGTTGTGTGAAACCCTTATACTGTTGTCTCAGAAGCAGAGTTCATTGCCCAGCATGCAATAAGCCAATACACACACAGAGCCAAGATATTGTTTATTGCATGTCTGCACAGAGATGGGTGCTAGGTGGCAATTCCACAAAGCTAGCACATCTGGTTTCAGTCACATTGTGTATTTATACAGTTTAAAATGTTAGTGCCACATCCTTCTAACTACAATTGGTTAGTTTTTATCTCTTCTTAATTGCAGTTGGTTAGTTCTTTTCTCACTTTGATTTAAAAACAGAGTGTTCCTTCAATTTACTATGCATGCTCAATAAGTGGGGGTCTTAATTCAGGAGGGTTGTCCCAACACTTGGAGGTGTGATTTTTAGCATTATAATTAAGTTTAAATGAGGATAGGTCACTCTTGGACAGTGCTAATCACTAACTTGGCTGACTACTCTAAACACATTGATTATTTTCCAGGATGTTCCAATCTTCAAGGGTAAATCTAACAAACCTTAAGTGATTAAAAAGTTTTTCTCAACAGTCCCAAGGACAGTCTTCCTAATCTAAACAGAGAGTAGGTATTTGTCACGTTAGCTTCTAACTTAGCTTGCAACACAGCCTTCCAAAAAACAACGTGATGTAACAGATGTGTTGGATATGGTATGCATGTTTGCTTGCCTTAATCTTGAACTACTTACACTGCAGGCCTTGATCTAACACTGGCAATAACCTGAGAGCTGGTTGCATGGCTCAATTCTGTGTGTGATTTTGTGCTGGCTTTACCATGTAAGTGAGCAAAATCTCTTTTGAAATCACCTCCTCCATCCAGGCCTATGTGAAACGCAATCAAATCATCACGTATGCTGTGACAGAAGTAACTTACAACAGTGAGCTGCAATACAACAGCTCTCTGGACCATATGCTTTCATTGGATCACAGGGAGTACACCACAAGTAAGGGTTGCAGTTGATCTACAAAAGCTTGGAGAAGCCCAAGTCCATCCTTTCATTAGGAGAGTAGCTCTGAAGAGTAAGAACCTCTTAAATATCAACACTAATTATGTCCATGATTGTTTTAATGCTATTGGCCTCTGCTATTGTTAGACATTGGGATGGGGTGCAGCAAAGTGGGCTTATTTGCATTATACTCTTCTTACTTCAAGCAAACTCCTCCACAGAACACATACAATAACACAGAGCCGTGTCATCTGCATCAAGGTGCTAAATACTCTGCAGAATTTCACCTTTTGCTATTTGACAGAAACCTTGCGGCATTCACAGCTCCAGCAGAGACACCAGAATCTGAAGGAGCCTAGAGTAAAGGTTTTGAAGGATCAGCTATACGGATGGGTTTTCTGGCTGAGTGTAGGCAAACCATATACATTATAAAGTCCTCTGCAGGAGTTATGACTTTGTTTATACTGGTTATCCCAGTTGGGGGTGATTCTTTGGGATTGTGCTGTCCTTTGTATGTTATGCTAAAATAGAGGCAAGTTGCCACATTTGGGAAGATTTTAATAATTTTTTATTATATGTTTATATCAATAAACATATTCAAAAAACAGGATGCTATATCTTATTTGTTTTGGCAGCTTTAGAGACCAGTAGGTTGCTGTCCTGTTTGACTGGACACTATATGGTTACATTCTCTTTGGGGACAGCTCTGTTTTCCATTTTGCATTTACTGGTATTTGGACAGAGGCAGTAATGGGGGTTACAACCACTTAGGCTGAAAAGTTTGTCACTTACTCATGGCAGCATCTTTATTCTCTTTGTTAGCGTAGCAGAAGAAAGTGTCGATTTACAGTGCAGAGAGATTGCTTTTATGATTAGAGGGCAAAACTGCATCTTAATGCTGATTCTGCTGTCAGACTTATTTTGCTACACAGAACGCTCCAGGAAGGCTGCATTTTGAGTTTCAGATGGGTTTTTGCAAGGTTACTGCTTATTACAGAAATACAGTTGGATTGACTGACTGAATCTTGTCTCATATTTTTGGAATCTTAATGCTCTGCCAACTTTCTTAACATGGCCAAAGAGACTGTATAGCTTGGTATAACAAAGCCAAAATATTAGTTAAAGCTAAACCAGAAGATAGTGTTAGCACTTGTAGGATAGAATAAAAGAGGAACACAGAAACACTGATTTGAAATAAAAAATTCTGCAAGATGGAGAAGTAATAGCAGCTTTAGGTCATAGTCTTTATAATCACAATAGCAGTATTAGTTATCAACATCTGGTTATAATCCCAGGAACCCTTCAATTTCCCACAAAAATTATTTCAGTAATATGCTGTAACATGCAAAGCGTCAAGTTAATTTTTAGAATCAAATGTTTCTTGAAATGGGCTGCTCAAGGCAAAATGCCAAGATTCTGTTAGCTAGAACATTCTCTAAGAACTTTCACTACTGTAATCCCTTCAGTTAAACTACTTACCATAGGCTTTGTTTTTTATATACACTTTACCTGAACTTACAAGATTCTTGGCTGCAAACCTCTTAGGGCAGGGTCTTGGAATAAAACCATATTGCTTTATAATTAATTCCCAATGCCGAATCTCTATGTATATTGCAGAAGAGAGGGAAGAAGAGAACATTTTCCATAATAGTGTGTATCTGCCTGGTTTTAAGCCTTCATTTATATGTTCTTTTGCATAACTTGTTCTCTGCTGGAAACAATCTGCTCAACAGTACTCTTCCTCCTCAAAATTTAAGGAAAACAGCTTTTTTTTAAAAAAAATATATATAAATAATAGAATCTCAGAACAGATTTACCTGCATAAGATCCACAGCATCTTTTGCATCCCTCTCAAAGAAATCTGGAGGAAAGTCTCGAGATGGAGGAATGGACTGTCCATATCCCCGAGGATCCCAAGCAACAATTGTGAAATGTTGCTTATTCATAGACTTAAGCTGTGGTCCAAAATCAGTTTGACCACTCCCTGAAACATCATAATTTTTTAATTAAAGTAACTACCATAACACATACAGACTAAGTATACATGCTCTAAATGGAAACTGGGTAAACTTGTATCTTATTCTAAAAAAGAGATTATCCATCAGCTGAAGTACACTATATGTCTAATTGCAACTCTCAGACAGGAAGTACCACAACTAAAATCTTCAGAACTATCTACAATTTGCTCAGAGCAAACCATTTCTGGTAGGGAAGTATGCTTATAAAGAACTGTGCTCTAAACAGATGCTTTAATACAGAATCTTAAACCGAGCTATCTGGAATCAGCCAGGGTAGAGATTCATATTTAACAGACACTAACTGTGGACAGCACAGATGAAACTGAAAGGGGAGGAATATACTGACTCTAGCTACAAATTCGTAGGTGAAAAGCGTTGTGTGAAACAGTTGTTCTTATTCAATAAAACACTTCAGTGAGAATACTGGTGCTTAAAGCTGAGCTTTAAATACTTTGTTGCCTGAGGAGACAGTGGTAACACAAAAGCACAAAACTGTAACTTTTGATTTTTCTAATACGTATCTTAACCAAAAGAAGTCTAATACAGCAATTTTTCTGATGCAGAACAGTTTATTTTGTTGATGGCTCAGACCTTCAACTGATTGAAAAATGAAGTACTCCAGTCTATTGCACTAAGTTCTCAATGAACACTAACGTAAGACTACAATTTATTTGTTTGCGCTATGGTCATGTGGTAACAGTATCACACACTCCTTGATTAAAATCTAGTCAGATCTAATATACTATATTCAAATGATGTAAATAAAATATTGAATTGGCTATCCATCATTACACTAAAAAGGCTGTTTAAGGGCATTTAAGATTTCATTTTTTTTTACTTAGAGAAATGTGTCCTCAGATACCTCTTCCTATGCAATCAACTGATCCAAGCGGTAAAAGAGGCTGTATATAGCACACTGACTACAGCCTGGCATGATCTCTTGCAACACCAATTAATAGCTGGAGTCAGAAGCAAAATATCAGGTTGTTTGAAAAACACCAATGCAACCCGATTAATATTAATCATGTATTCTTACATAGGCCTTGTAAGAACCTCTGCACTATCACGCACATGCTTGTTATACCATATTTTTTGTAACTGAAAAAATACACAAGGCTGAGAGCATATCTCAACGCTGTGTTTTCTTGGTTTTCTTAGTATTTTTCTAGTTAGAAAGAGAAACATCACTTTTGTTTTAATGTAGTTCATGAATAGCCTAGAGACTAATTCTATTGACCTAAAAGTACTTGTTGCCACAACATATTTGCTAGTCTGTTAATACTGTAAGTAGTATACAATAATATTGAAAACGTAGTATCAGTACGAAGGGAAGAAGCATGTGACAGTTCATCCTCAAATGTTGCCTGAAAATACTAAACTTCACAATGGTAAAGATACTAACCCTATTACTGTTTGTAATAATGCTAACTGAATAGCAATGTATACCTAACGACAATAACATTACCCACAACTGAAGAAATACATTATTTCTATTTTAAGAGTTAGCATTGGCAACAGTTTAAAAGGCTGTTTAGAATGAATAGGATAAAACATATGACTACCAAAGCACCCCTAGGATTAACTTTTTTCCACCCTCCCCTTGAGAATTCTTTGAAAGAAAGAACCACTTCACAAAGATTTGAAAATGTTGTTGGCAAGAAGAAAAAATGTTTCCTGCTCTTCAGTTCTTGACATTCTGTCATCTTGATCCAGCAATTCAGTTAAGGATAAGCCCAACTCTGAGCACAGTAGTGGTCCTACTGACAGCCTGCCATGAACTGCTAGTCTCATTGGTTCTTTAGAACTGCAAGAGTCCAGGGAAAAAAAAAGCTTGTGATAATTTTAAAAGGTTGTTATAAAAAGCAGCGGTCTCTATGGACAGATACCACTTAGCTAGCAGAACCTGCTGTTCATCTCAAAAAGCCGTTGAGAATCTTAACAATGTTGCCCTGAATAACCAAAACATGAAAGTACATTTTTAAGCAAAAAGCAAGTCTCAACTGTGCCTTTTTCATTATGATAATAAACTGCAAGTGATGCTTTACGTGTATTAATTCATTTGGAATGCACCTAGTTTCTAAAAAAGAATGCATAATTCAGTCTGTGTAACAAATATACTTGACCTGATTTCTGCTCCCTCCCCTGTTATTTTGCACCTTGTGTAGCTGTTTGCCACCTGTGTTGGACACCCACTTTGCACAGTTAAATCCAAAGTCCAAGTGATTATTACACAAGTCAAGACACTGTATAAAAGGTGCCTGGTAAAAGAAATGAAATCTTTAAAAACAGTTAACTGATTGCAGTAACTCTGACTTTTCCTATCTGTTGTTTGTGTAGAAATTTTTTAAATTACAATGCTCCATAATCAGGTGTTGAACATATTACAAAACAGTTTTGTGCATTCTAGCTTGAGACCGGATGGAGAAAGAGGTGGTTGCTCTACAAAGATAAGATAAAATCTCCAGACCTAGCATTCCGGGAAGCAGAAGAACTGCATGGCTTCCTTCTCCAGTCTGCTGATAATGCAGGTGGACTCCATTCACTTGGATTTTGGCAGATGTTATTGAAGTACTAGGGATGGGGGAAGGGGAGAGAAAAAGGGATCGGTCAGTAAATTCTTATTACTACATGGTCATTCAAGGAATACAGAATAATCACTTTTTCTAGATATTGATGACAATACAGTGAGATTTAAATGGGTCACTTGCCTTTCATGGGTGCACAGAAGACTAAATAAAAACTTGTCAGGAGCAGAGAAGTATTCAGTTGTGACCACTATGTAGCATTTGTACTTTCACAAATGTAGTTAAATGACGTAAGTTAAAGGGGAGAAAAAAAAAAGTCTTGACTGTGCAACAAGGGGACTATAAAAGCAGCCTTACATGGCTACAGAAACACTAGAGAGGAGAAACTTCATTCTGTCCTAGCATAACTTTTGAAGTAGCTGATGTTATTATTGTTATTTCTAAACTGAGCCTTTCCATCTGCCAAAGAAACCACAATCTATTGTTATGGTTCCTCCTGAACAAGAGGGTCTACAGTGAAAACCACCTTGCACTGAGATGAGGGTGGAGAAGAAGAATGTGATAATAATATTTCTGTCTGTGTAATCTCAGCAGAAGATAGTGCTTAACTGGAAAACACCACATAACCAAAAGCCCACCCACTAAAGAACTACCATAGAAACTGACTCATAGGCCACTTACCAGCCCTGACCTTTAAACCTCTGCATTCACCTTCAGCACCAAGCAAGACATGTAAATGCTAACAAGTAACCCAAAATAGATACAAACGCCTAGCGAGAAAGCAGAAGTAGCATAGATTGAAGGTATCTTCTTAACGGTATAAGCCATTGCATCTGTTCTCTCAAGCAAATTTATGTCCTAATGGTTTAAAGACATCTTTTCAACAACCTAACCAATTTTATTTAAAGGTAACACGATGATAAAAATTTTGCTGTTTGGTTGCTAAATGGTTAACCCTCATTCCCTAAACTGTTTACCTAGATTAAATATTCTTGCCCTATGAATTCAGTGAAACTGAATTTCACACGCACACAGAAATGCTGTTTTCCAGTCTTGTACGTAGCAATAATCTCTATTCCATGATGTCCACTGTGCAACTTATTAAAAATGTAAGCATAGTCCCACCCATATAGTTTAAAATGGTGGGTTAAAGGTAAAAAAATCCCACAAATTTAAATCCCTCTCATAAGGAAAATGAAAATCAGCAACAGCTTGCAAACTCAGGTTCCCAATACATAACTGGCAGTTAAACCACAGAACTTGTTCAACACAAAGCCATTTGGATTTTACATAAAGTCTTGGTCCATATAACCAATAATGCCACATGCCTAACCACAAACTGTGACTGTGACTCTTTCTACCTGTGCAGATCTAATTTGAGAACTGGAGTGTAAACGCAGATCTCTGGGAAGAATACAGCTTATAATTTCAGTGAGTTTTGCTGAATTCTTATGCAGATGTGATTCAAGTGATTAGTTTGACTGTAATGTTAAAACTCCTTTAAGTCCCTATAGTCATGATGTGAATTCACAACTTGAATTCTGAATGTAGTATTCAGATGGCCTTCTTATTCCCTTTTTGAATATCTGACCTTTGCTTTTTTCTGTTTATAACAGAGAATGTTTATTTTTTTTCTTTATATACCACCTTTTGGTTTGTCATTCACTTCAACGGGTTATTTTAGCATAGCTCTCACTGCAGCAAATGAGCACCTTGCTCTTATTAAGTTTTACAGAAATATGACGTTTTTTGCTTCTGATTAATAATTGCCAAAAACATTTCCAGTTCTTAATAAAACAGAAATAATCACCATCTTGCTACCTGTTTGTTTTTTTTTTAAAAAGGTTACCAATATGTAGTTTTAATAGACAAGGGTTGTATATTCTGCTTTCCTGATATATTTTTTTACAGATTTCTACATTTTTCAGGATTAATTATTAACATCAGGGGCTTAACAATTTTGATGAGTTTTCTGTTCCTGGATTGTGCCTCAGTGTGAAGTACAATGACATCCAGGAGTTTCACAAAGAGTATTTTCAATACTTTCTAGACTAAGAATAAATGGCTTGGGTTTTATTTTATGTGCTGATAAACTGTACTGGAACTAGCTACACTTAAGACAGATTTAGTCTTCCTCACACCAAGTTTCTGTGAGTCTGAAATTACTTCAGTATTCTTGTCAGCATGATGACTTCATTTCATAGAATCATAGAATGGTTTGGAAGGGATCTTAAAGATCACATAGCTCCAACCCCCCTGCCATGGGCAGGGACACCTTCCACTGGACCAGGTTGGTCAAAGCCTCATCCAGCCTGGCCTTGAACACCTCCAGGGATGGGGCATCCACAGCCTCTTTGGGCAACCTGTGCCAGTGTCTCACCACCCTCACAGGAAAAAATTTCTTCCTAATATGTAGTCTATATCTGCTCTCTTCCGGTTAAAATCCATTACCCCTCTGTAAAGTTTTCATAAAGACTGTATTTTCCATTAGTTGGCATAATCAGAAACACTGTTAAAACAAAACAAACAAAAACACCCACTATTTTGTAACTGAATTAGTAATGTTAAGGATTATAGCTCTTTGAGAAGCTTTGGATACATACTGCCTATGTCTACCAAGACAGTACAGACGGAGATCTCGTAGGCAGGGGCTTGTAGCGTGCCTTGCTGGAGGCCACACTCCACCTCATACTCTGTAGGAATTAAGCTTAATCTGGGAACTACCTTTCTGTTCCAGCTGTGCTACAATACAACCAAGTCTTTGTGCAGGGGGAAAATTATGGTATTATGTCTGTTTTCCTTAATAGGATTTGCAGAATAAGCAGTATTATATATGAATTGTATAAGTGCATATATATATACATATATGTATCCTCTTTGCAACCTTGGTATCCTCTAGGAAACACCCCCCCTCCCTCCACCCAAATCCAGTGTACACCCACTCTGCTAAAACACCTTGTTCACTCCCACCCCCTCCCCTCC